TTAATGTTAGACCACTATTGAGAACCTGGAAGCACTGAACAGCCGTTCCCTCCTAGTGCGAGACTCGAACTCAGGACCTTTGGTCTCACGCGGATGTTTAACCACTAGACCACTGGGTCAGCATCCAATGATGTTAATGTCTAACTTTAACCAATTCACGATATTGAGCAGCCATCTTCCACTGTCTTCGGTTGGTAACTACTTCACACCTGACACTGTTGGACTCCAGTGGTTGCGGCTTCTCACTAGAACTCCGAGAGTTACCTCTAGAAGCTAGTCACTAATGAGAATATGGTAATCTCCAGTTTGAGTTTATAGAGATTGTTGATCGTGAATACACACTGCTGAGGAGTCCCATACTAGGAAAAAAACGGTCGTCCGGTTCTTCCAGGTTTTCAAGTGTAGTCTAACAATAATCAATCCATGATTGCAATGAAATTCAACAATGTTTACAATTCCAAAATGAGAATCTTATATTTTTACTCAACACAAAGTTAAGAATGTGTTACAACTGAAAAAAAATATTTATTTCATGTATTGTCAACGGTTGAATTTACATAAATGAATGGTAATTATATTAAATGATATATAATTACAAAACAAGGTTGACCTAGATGAAAACTCTAAAGAAAATCTTTTAATTGTTTTTCACACTGGTTGGTAAATTAAATAGAACACAGAATACTGCTAAGATCTATATCCCGGTCAACAACTACAGTTCGAAATTTCTATGTATACATCTAAGTCATTATTACAGTATCTTCGTTGAAATTCTCCTTAAAGCCTGCTAGTTATTAATTTTTAAGTTAAATATTTACAATTGTTCATTTAGTTGACTTCAGTCAACCGATATATGTAACTCAAGGATGTGTATAGTAGTGTGCTGAACAGAACACAGGTGGGGACAATCAAATGTGTCTAACACAGAATTACAGAGTTACTCGGTAAAATAGAAAAAGCATATAGTAAATCATTAATTTGCAAAATATCATTCCATCATATCAAACCGGACTGTTGCTGTTGTAATCATCAATCCATTGTCTCACATTTCATTGTTCATGCGTTTTCTTACAAATCGTATTGTGTTCCCGCTCTTTCTTTCTTGATCTTCCCCCATCTTCTGCTGCCAGACATTACGTTCTTTAACTCGCGTCATATACTACTTATATCAATATAAGTAGCACACTGCACAGTAGGAACCAACAAAAGTTTAGTGAAATTTCTCATGTAAATGAGTATTATGTGAAGATTAATTAAGTTACATATTAGTGTTATGGTTGACTGTGTTAATCCTTTGTAAATAAATGAATTACAATGCCTTTGTATGTGCAATCTACTCATTTTATCAAAATCTACCATAAATTTTACACTAGTTATAAAATTAACTATTGCGAAATGTGAATTTTATTTATGTAAATCAGTCTATTTAAGGTAACAACTATCTGACTATATATAATATTATGTCAAAAATCCATGCAACTGTCAACTGTTTTTATTAAAGACTGATTTGGTTCATTCATTGAATCCAGTACCTAGATGGTAGTAATAGTAGTTCATCAGGTAGGTTTATGGTGTCTGATTATTAACTTTTGTGTTTTAGGTTCAATGACAATTTTATCTAGTTAATGATTCATAGGTCTAACTGCTTAACAACAATAAACTATTTGTGAATGGATCTAGTGTGTTAACAGAACACAGTTAGCTTGATCTTGTAAATAAACAATAGAAAATCTTCAAATTTGATGCGAATCACATTTTGTGAGCGTAGATGTTATTCTGTGATTATAGCAACTCTTCTATAATCAAATTCGATGATGGTTAATTTTTGTTAAACCCTTTTATTAATTTACTTAGTAGAGGTTATTCGAACAGTAACAATTCGCATATTTCTTTGTACTATTATGTTCACTATCTTGTCTGTATAAACGTGTACGCTTGATCACATGTGACAGCATACTCACACATCTCTAGCTAAAATGTGAATATCTTAAATATCGCTCGATATGTCATTCTCTTCCTAATGTATATATGTAATCGAATCCTATGATTAGACTTTGCCTTACCTAGCTGCGCCTTGATTCGATTTGACTAAAAATTTGCCTCTGTATTCGCTCGTCCGCACATATTAGCCTTTCTGCTTCAAATCCACTCGATGTCCTTCTAGCTTTGCTATCCGTGCAATCCGTTAAGAAACTGTAGTCGCCGCTTCTTATTGCCTTCTGAATTCAAACACCATTGAGATTTATATTATAACGGTTATTGATTAACGAAGCTAAGCCACTACACGTTAAGTAGGATTTATGTAAAAATTACGCATGTTTTGAATAAACGTTACATCAACGTGTATATTTTTACTAGGGTTTGTGAAAACAAACCACTGGTAGGGATAATCAAGGAACTTTCGTCAGTCAAATGAAAACTGAGAATTGAGAGTGGTTCTTTATTCTAGTATAAGATTCCACAAAAATGTGTGCCCTTATATATGATCAAGTCCAGAAACTTCATGTACCACAAAGAACAGATGAATTTCATGGTATACTTAGAACCGAACAAGTACTAGAGTATGTATGAATGACCTCAAATTGTCGTTTACATCACAAAGTCTAGAGGTATTATGTTTGACTTTATGTATTGCTATGGGTAGACAGTATTTATCTATCTCATACCAGGACCAGTCAGTCAACCAGTCGTAAGCAGCTTAGAACTTAACACGTATGTATATCAGTTCGAGTTGCCATACCATACTAGGCTTGAGAGATAAAATTATCAGAACAAGTGTTAGAGTAGTAGAGGTAGTAATAGAATCTGTATTAGTAGACAACAATAGATAAACAAATATGATTTAATATAGAAAAACTAATTCGTGAAATAGTAAAGTATGAGACAATTTAAAACCCAATATCTATAGAAAGATAGATAATGAATGCATCTAAACCATTTTAACCTATTCTGAACCATGTCGCTCATAATCTCCAACCCCTGATTACAATAATCGAGGGACCGTAACTAGGTCAAACATCTACTTCACACTTCATAGTTTTCAATGAGTTTTCAATTGATCCCTAGTCATGACGGAAAGTTATTTTACTACTGAACAAAAGTTTTAGAAACAATCCTCTAAGTAAATAATGCATCCTTGTACAAACTGATTTTTAATGATTAATACTATTACGTTTGGGTTGTCAACATTTAATGCGGAAGGATCATTATCATAACAATTAATAAGAAACCATGAAATATAATGAACTCATGTTAATCTGCTTCATTAATTTTTCTTGTTTTAATAGAACTTATAAATAGGAAAAAACTATGAAATTCTTAATAAAGTTGATTTCGGAGAAGTTCTCATTAATGAAGATTAGTGAAAAGAGTAATAAGTATGGAAAGATGATAAGAGATCTTCATGTGTTAATGGATGTGAACATTTTATAGGTCGAATATATATAAGAATATTATAGAATAAACAACTATAAAATAAAAACATAATTATTTGGCGGGACAATAATTTGTGGACGAATCAATCAGATTTAGGATAACACGTCTTGGATTTGGGTGCGAAATCCATTCATCCATTTGGTTAAAGAGCATTTTGACATTTTAACTGATATAAGTTCGTGATGAAAACTCTAACCCTAGTTTCTAACCCTAACGTTCGACTGTAAATCACATCCCTTATTCTTCATATAAGTTCATAACTCTCATTTGGCCCTAGTAAGTAGGTGGATAGCGTGGACAGAACAACACTATAGAAGCTTCTTCGACACTACGGCGTGCCTCAGAAGATAGTCAATATGACACGGAATTCCTATGATGAATTAAACTGCAAAATCGTGCATGGAGGACAGTTGACAAAGTCGTTCGAAGTAAAGACCGGTGTCAGGCAAGGTTGCTTACTCTCACCCTTCCTCTTACTCCTGGTGATCGACTGGATCATGAAGACGTCAACATCTGAAGGGAAGCATGGAATACAATGGACATCTAGGATGCAGTTTGACGATCTAGACTTTGAAGATGATCTGACCCTTCTATCATAAACGCAACAACGAATACAGGAAAAGACGAACAGTGTGGCAGCAGCCTCAGCAGCAGTAGGTCTCAATATACACAAAGGGAAAAGCAAGATTCTCCGATACAACACAACATGCACCAATCCAATACAATTGACGGAGAAGATTTGGAAGATGTAAAAACCTTTACATATCTGAGCAGCATCATTGATGAACAGGGTGGATTTGATGCAGATGTAAAGGCGCGGATCGGCAAAGTAAGAGTAGCATATTTACAACTGAGGAACATCTGGAACTCAAAGCAACTGTCTATCAAACAACACCAAAGTCAGGATTTTCAATACAAATGTCAAGACAGTTCTACTGTCTACTGGAGCGGAAACCTGGAGAACTACGAAAGCCATCGTTCAGAAGATACAGGTGTTTATTAACAGTTGTCTACGCAAAATATTTCAGATCCATTGGCCGGACACTATCAGCAACAACGTACTGTGGGAGAGGACAAACCAGATTCCAGTGGAGGAGGAAATCAGGAAGAAGCGCTGGAAGTGGATAGGACACACATTGAGGAAAGCACCCAACTGCGTCACAAGACAAGCCCTCACATGGAATCCTCAAGGCCAAAGGAAAAGAGGGAGACCAAAGAACACATTGAGCCGAGAAATGGAGATAGACATGAGAAAAATGAACCAAAGTAGGATAGAACTAGAAAAGAAGGCCCAGAACAGAGTGGGTTGGAGAATGCTGGTCGGCGACCTATGCTCCATTGGGAGTAACGAACGTAAGTAACTAAGTAAGTAGGTGGACATTCTCAAGGCCACTTTAGCGCCGCTCAAAGGCCGTTCATACATTATAGTTTCACAAACTATTTATAAACAGTAAATATTAACTAACCATCTAACTAAAGATCACATTTGAAATAAGAATTAATCATTCAATATTAAGAATGAACATCAAACTTTATTTAATAATTCCTTTTCTTCATTTCCTTAGATAATTCAAATCATAATGATTCTATAATACTTCCATGTTTATTGTGTAAAACTATTCAACATTCTCCATATCAATTATTAAATCATTTAGAAAATATTCATAAAATCAATTCAGATCAATTTACAATTGAACATAGAAATCATGAAAATATTCCAGGAACAATATTTAACATTGAACGACAACAACAGCAGATTGATTCATCATTAAAACAATCTAATGTAAATCATAAATTAATTCATACTGATTTATATAAATATTCTAAAAATTTTACAAATTATTTCAATCTATTTAATTTTATATATAAAAATTTATTTTATTCTTATCATAAGAAGGTTGATGAAATGGAAACAATCACATCCAATTATTCCATATCACCTAAATATATAAACAATCAATTAGTTCATGATGGAAAGGATCAGTTAGTACAAGTTGAACCATTTTCTAATGTTGATCTTAATCAATTAACTATATTGGATGAAAATAATCATCAGAATAATTCAATAAATGAAAGTGTTATATCCTATGAATTATCTTTAGATCAAAATTCATTTTATTGTTTAAATAGAGATAAAAAGTCTACGAAACAATACAATATAACTTATAATTCTAAAGATATTTCAGAGAAAACTTCTTATCTGAATCGACATTTTATTAATTCAATTAACCATAGTAATAAAAATAATAATACTGGGGTGAAAAAACAATCATCCAAATTAATAGCTCATTTAAGACGTGATATATGTGAATATTGTGGTAAAATATTTCGAAATTGCAGTAATTTAACTGTACATCGACGTATACATACAGGTGAAAAACCATATCATTGTAATATATGCACATATTCATGCGCTCAATCATCAAAATTGACAAGGCATATGAAAATACACAATAAACAACAAAAAATTTGCAAATTAAAAACATCTAATTCCGAATATTCAGTGAAACATTTAAATAAAACAAAAAATAATTGTAAATAATGTAATAAAAGTTTAACATCTCATAAATATGAACGTCATTTAGAAGCATGTAAATACGTTATTTGATTACTGATGAAAACATAAGTATACTATTTCATAGATAAGAAACAAGTATAAAAAATTCGCCATAAGTAATCTGAAGATATTACTTGTACTAGAGGAAGAGTCGCTAAGTTCTTATTTGAGCGCCAATGTAATATATACCTTGTTGTATTCATTAAAACAAGGATTGATCATTTTTCTTCTAAACTCAACTATTTTTGTTTAATTGTTTTACTACTTATTTCAAAATGAGTAGGCAAAACAATATGTATTTTTGTAATTTACATATAGATTTTAGTGATTAGCATTTACAGAATGTTGTGATTTATTTTATTTTAAGATAGAAAATTGAAATTAGTTACTGTTTAGTATCACACTTTAGAGGGGCATATTAATCTAATCTCAAATGTACCATGATTTATGAATATTCATTTTTGAGAAGTTCTGAACTAAGGGGAATTAATTATCTACGGTTGTCAATGGTTTTATTGTTGGTAGTTTACTGTGATGAAAAATGAAAAGTTTAAATTTGTAATCATTAGATCGCTTACTTGGTAAGTTTTATCAACTATCTCCTTATCTTTCGAGGTTTTCGCACTGCTAATTGTGGTTCTGGCAAGAATGTGGGGTATCTCCATACAGAATCGAACACTTGGAACCATATGAAATGGATGTGTGTGTGTTAGAGTAAGGTTATTTTTATTAGTGTATACAGATTTATTGTATAGAGGCTGATATATAAGCTATAACCATGCCCCAACAGTATTTATTGATTACTGTTCAATAGTTAAGCAGTAAAATTCAATAATTGTATTTTGTATCACCAATTTTACCCTTGATCTCATTCAATATGCTTATCGTATTGAGAATAAAGCATCGTTCGTGTTATAGATATGACTTATATAATTTAGTCGGTAAAATGGTAAGGACGGAAAGTCACTGCCTCTAACAACCAATAGTATCCAGTAAAAAGTTACTTTCATAATTCATTACTGTATTGATAAACGAAACGACAATTGTCGAGATGAAATTTCAGTAGAGAAAACAACACCCACTGAAGAGCAGATTCTTTCAGTTGGGTCTCAAAAACAAAGTAACACTCATCATTCGTTCTACAGCAAGTTATTGATCCCGCGAGGCGGGATCATGGATGCGCACTACTGAGGATATACTTTAAACACTAATATCAGAAGTAGTAGAAACTAATGGCTTGATGTAAGTTTTCTTAAATTATGATGTGATACGATTTGATTTTGATTACTTAGAGAAATCCGACTATTTCTTATCAATTGTCATTGCTTTTTCGGAATGCGATACAACTATTACGTATCTATTTACGATAGTATGCGACCATCTTCTATTGTCATTGGTAGCCACCTTCTTCATACTCAACACGGTTTAGTTCCACTAGTCACGGTTTCTCACTAGAACTCTGGAAATTTCCTCTTGAAGCTGGTCATTAGTAAACACGATAATTGTTAGTATGGGGTGGTGGAGGTTGTTGAATTTCATTGATTTCATGAACCGGTCAGTGAAATTCAACAGTCTTGACAACCCTGTACGGACTATTTTTTTTTATCTAATCGATTTAGATTGTCAGAATATGTAGCTGAATAGATGGATTTGTTTGACTGAGTATTTTGCTCGAATCTCTAGAAGATGGTTCTTACTGTTAAGTGTAAATGTTCTGAATTATTAGAAAAAATCTGCACTGATCTGATAAGAATAAGCTTAAACAAAAACTGAATCCAGAGTTTCATAGTCATTTTTATCAGTCCTTTTTTGACTAAAGTTAGAAGTACCATCCAGTTGTCAAACAACACTTAACCATTGTTATTCCAGATGCAAAGTTTTGAAATTATATTACCGCTTGTTTTTCATTTCATCTCTTAGCATTTCCGTTATATTATGGGAATTTTCTTTGGCTAAATGATCTTGACCGTACAAAAGGGGTATAATATATCAACTGTTGGTAAAAACTGCTTAATTAAATCTTTAAACAATATTATCAGTCATGTGAACTGCTCATAATAGTGAATGAGGAAATATCGACTGAACATGATAAATGAATGGATGGTGAGAAAGATTAGAAAGTTGTGTTGGATAAAGCATTATTTGAGAATAACTAAGTGGTTATTTTTTCCTAACTTTATGGTAATTTAGTATAAACCACAGTTTGGTTGACCACACAAACACACAAATACACCCATTCACACACGCAATATTACGAGGAGATCATAGCTAAAAATATAACTTACTAAATGCTAATTCGGTAGTTTATAGTCTAAGTGTTCGCAATGGGACCTGAAGACCCTGGTTCCTATCCCGGGGGAGTCGTAGATGAGCATCGTTGAGGAGTCTCGTACTAAACGGTGCTTTTTGGGTTTCATTGATTTTTTAGACAAGATCAACTCGTGATGTAAATTATAAAATCTAATAGTTAGTTCAAAACCCTTGCACTGAGAAAATAAAAGATTTGGGACTTGTTGAAAACAATCTTTTGGAAAATGGGTGCCAGGAGAAATTAATTATCAAACAAAGAAAAGAGTAGCTTGTCTTCATATGTCTTACGTTCAAGGTGAATGGGATTTCGGGGATAATTAATGAAATGATTAGGGTAGCAGCGAGAACGAACCTTTCTACAGACTAACTGCCTTCATTATACAACTCCAAATGATTATTAAATCAATCAAATGCAGATGTCGACATAACATATATGAGATAAATAGGATTTCTAATTCGTCTACATCATTAACAGTTCGATCATATTGGAGTCAGACAAATGGCATTTAAAGACTACTGAGAGTTTCTAAGAGAAGTTAGTCAGAGAGAGAGACTATAATTTATGGACGACCTTTAAGCGACAGTAAAGTGATCTTGAGAAAAAAGGTTATAAATTCATGTTAAGAATTAGGATTAGAATTTAACGTTAGAAGTTAGGGTTAAGGAGTAGAGTCGGAGTTTTCATCACGCATCGACGTCAGCCGTAGTGTCAAAATGCTATTTAGCCATATAGATGAATGAATTTCATGCCGAAATTCAAGTCCTGCCATCTTCCATTTCATCATTGATTCGCTCATAAATTATAGTCTCGTCATTTTTTAATAAAAGGTATCAGTTGTGAAAAAGACAAAAGAAGACGTGATGATAAAAATCAATAAGCGCTTCATTAGCTAAATTAAAGTAAACAACCTCCAAAAGTTAAATCCACTTTTAATAAAGATAAACAAGTACATAAAATACTTATTATAATTATTCAATGATATTAAATAGAATTAATTTCAATAATCTTTCTAGCGTTATTCAGAAACTCAACTAACTAAATATTTTGATTACAAACCCCACAATACTAACAATATATTAACTATGGCTAACTCCAAGAGATAGTTACGGGAGTCCGGTTGAAAAGTCATGATCAGTAAGATTCAATCATGTCATGTATAAGGCAGATATAATCACGGGGAATGAAAGATGACAGTATAATATTGTGAATTTATTGAGATAAGAAATATGAAGCAGGAGGAGATAACACAGCAATCGAAAAGTATCTTGGTCATCGTGAAGCCTGAAGATTCTAAGTACGATCTTTGGGTGGGATCATGAATATTTACTTCTAAGGAGTCATATATTAAGGTGAAATAACTATCTACTATTTCCTGGTTTTCAATAGTTATGAAAACAATGACAATCCTTGATGTAAAATTACACATTCAACAATTTCTACAAGCCCACTTTTTAAATGAGCTATAGAAAATAGTATGAATCCTTTTGGCCTAGAATTTACTTAAAATTAAGTTCAAAAGATAAGGTTTGCTTAAACTGACAGATCACGAATAATTAAGGATGGAATATTAATCGTTAACACTTGACGAACTTATAAGTGTATTCTAACAAATTTGTGCTTCAGCAAAGTAACAGAGTTCCAGGTGAAATGAAATTCTACATTGGATTAAAAAAAGTTGGCAATAAAATACACTTATCACTAGTTATTACTGTTGGCTAAGGGATAGTATTAATTTGAAGATATGTTATTAAAATAATTATAAATTTCATGCCCATAGTTTATAGGTACGATAAGATTAGTTACAATTAGATGGAAAATAATGAGTATAATGTTTTGAACGGGAATAATCCTTTAAGGGTATGAAATTTATTTTAATACGCTTTACACCCCTCCAACTATTCATCTGTATCTTTCTCCTACCAATCAAAACCGTCATTTTAACCGGCCAATGAAATCCTCACTATCCGAGAGATAAAAGTCGTTGTTGTATGCCCTGTTTATTCCAAATAGTGAGGTTGATATTATTTTCAAAAAGCTGTTTGTTGATAAATTATTTCAAATGGAAGCAGAACTTTTGAGACAACAAACATGTTTATGAGAGTGTGACTTTTTGCCATTTCATAACACAAGATAGTCGTCGAAATTCAAATGATTTTTACATAAAATATGTGTGCAGAATGAAGGGTCATTTACAACTACCGATAACTTCTCAAGAGATGTGAATGTTTGTTTTACAGTAAATTCTTTATAAAATGATTTAGACAGCCAGTTGGTAGTGGTTGTTAATCCTATATATTTTTGTTCAGCTGGTAAAAGCCTTTTCATCAGTATATTAGACGGTCAGTAGACACGTAGTCACGAGTTGCTTTATCTCACTTAGGAGAAAGACCTTCGCTTTTTTTGTCTGACAGCCGATCAGAAGAATAAATAGAATAGAATAATCAGTAGTTTGAAATAATAAATATATAGATTTTTGTTACATCCCAGTGAGTAGAAAATTGTATTTCCGACGTTTCGCTACTTCTTCAGAGCGAGTAAATAACCAAATTAAATTTCTTTGTACTATTTAACTTGTGTTAATTGGTTCATCCCCATATTATGGTCTCGTCGAATCAAACTGTCAAATAAAATACGTTTCTTTTACGTTATTATGCAGGAAAGTAAAGACAAGATTTGTAGAATAAAATAAATTCATTCAAGTTTTTTGAATTATAGACCTTAACTGTATGTATATCAAAACAATTCAAGTAATTAATCGCGATAAAAAAAGTTGATTTTAATAAGTATCTATCAGACAGCAGAACATTATTTTTGATGGAATAACCGAGCCTATGGAGGAACGGTGATTTACTTTACTTACTTACGCCTGTTACTCCCAATGGAGCATAGGTCGCCGACCAGCATTCTCCAACCCACTCTGTCCTGGGCCTTCTTTTCTAGTTCTATCCTACTTTGGTTCATTTTTCTCATGTCTATCTCCATTTCTCGGCGTAATGTGTTATTTGGTCTCCCTCTTTTCCTTTGGCCTTGAGGATTCCATGTGAGGGCTTGTCTCGTGACGCAGTTGGATGCTTTCCTCAATGTATGTCCTATCCACTTCCAGCGCTTCTTCCTACTTTCTTCCTCCGCTAGGATCTGGTTTGTCCCCTCCCACAGTAGGTTGTTGCTGATAGTGTCTGGCCAACGGATTCGAAGTATTTTGCGTAAACAACTGTTAATAAACACCTGTATCTTCTGGATGATGGCTTTCGTAGTTCTCCAGGTTTCTGCCCCAGTAGACAGTAGAACTGTCTTGACATTTGTATTTCAAATCCTGACTTTGGTGTTGGTTGATAGACAGTTGCTTTGAGTTCCAGATGTCCTTCAGTTGTAAATATGCTGCTCTTACTTTGCCGATCCGCGCCTTCACATCTGCATCAGATCCACCCTGTTCATCAATGATGCTGCCCAGATATGTAAAGGTTTTTACATCTTCCAAATTTTCTCCGTCAATTGTGACTGGATTGGTGCATGTTGTGTTGTATCGGAGAATCTTGCTTTTCCCTTTGTGTATATTGAGACCTACTGCTGCTGAGGCTGCTGCCACACTGTTCGTCTTCTCCTGCATCTGTTGTTGCGTTTGGCGGTTCTGATGCTCCTCTTCATTTGTTTGTTTACTTCTGTGTATTCAGCTTGTGCCTTGGCTTTTTCTACTCTTATTCGGCTGCTATTGATTGCTGCCTTCTTGTTCCTCCTTTCTTGAATCTTATCCAGTGTATCAACAGTGATCCATCCCTTGTGATGGTGCTTCTTGTGACCCAGGACCTCATGACATGTTGAAGTGATTGCCTCTTTGATCGCTTTCCAGTTGCTCTCCATAGTAGTTCCCTC